GGCAACCCTGTCCGTGCTGCTCCTTCCTTTGTAGATGTGGTCTCGCAGTGTTTAGAGGAGGAGGAGGCAGCAATAAAGCTGAGCGGAAAGCAGTTATGGCTGGATGCAGGGTGAGGGTCTCAGGATGGGCACCCTGAGATGGCCCCAGCACCCTGCCCATGCAGGTTTTATTTTGGGATAGAAGTCCCACAGACAGCCAAGACACAGTGAGGAAATGGCTCCTTAGAGGTTTTGTCCTGGCTGGAGGCAGCACCCAGGCCTCCTTTCCCCACAGCCACCACTGCCCAGCATGGGGACACCTTGGGGCTGCTCCTCACCCCCACCACAGGAATTCCATCCCTCTGGCCCCCTGCAGCAGCCCAAGGTCTTAAACTGGGGGCTGCCCTGGCAGAGTCACTTTAATCTCCCACCAAAGCTCCATGCTGAGGTGTCCCCAGCCCATGCAGCTGCAGGTGGTACCTCTCTTCCTCCACGGGACAGGTCTCAGTCCAGTGTCACCCTGCCCAGGCGTCCTGCCCGGAAATCCCGCAGGAACTCATAGGCAGCAGCGGGGTAGTTGAGCATCATCATGTTGACATTCCCTGGAGATGGGGCAGGGGGGATGCAGAAGGACCATCAGTGGAGCCTGGAGCCACCCTAGGATCCCCAAAAGGGATCCCCTGCAACCCAGGAGGCAGAGATCCGCCCCAAGCACTCACCTGTGCCCGTCAACACCTTCACCTTCTGCATCCTGCCTTTGGCGAGGGCCACGTGCCTCAGCACAAGCTCAATGTCGTCGCAGGCATCAGCCAGCCCATAACGCTGCACATACCTGCCAAAGGAGGTGGGGTACATTGCTTCTGCCTTTCAAGCTCCCTGGGGACAGCTTCTCCACCACCCACATGGGACTACGAGCAGCAGACGCAGGCCAGGGTCCTCTCCAGCTTCCCCACTGGCTCACCTGAACTGCTGCCGCTTGTTCAGGGCATACAGGAGGTAGTCGGCCATGATGTCCTCCCCAACTAGGTGGTCACGGATGGCTCCTAGAAAAGAAGGTCAAGCCCCAGCTCCTGCAGCCCTGGTCAAACCCAGGCCACCTCTCCTTCCATCGACATGCCACCTGCAGGCAACCGGGTAGCATATGCTGGCCCTGCGAGCAGCAGAGTCCCACACCAGCCTCACACGAGGGCTCACAGCCACATCTGGGAGTCCCCCACGCCACAGCCTCCACTCACCGCACAGTGCCAGCTTCATGCCAGTCTCCACGTCGCCCAGGTTTGGTGACAACACACCAGGAGTATCCACCAGGTACATCAGGGGCTTCTCGCAGACCTGGGACAGGGGAGACAGGGCTGTTAGGACACACTGCTTGGTAACTGCAGCATCACAGACTCGGATGTGGCTAACAAGCAAGGTGTTGAGTACTTCTGTTAAGGTCTTGCTGGAAAGGGGATCTGAGCAACCCTTTGAGATCAGCCCTGCATGCCTTGAGCAAAACAAGGCAGAGGCCAGCACCCACCCAGATAGCAGGGACAGTACCTGGATTCTGGTCAGCACTGCCTTAGTGACACCAGGCTCACCACCGACAGCAGTGGCTTTCCCTTTGGGGAGAGACAACAGTCAGACAAGCAAGTAACATCCTGTCCCAGCAGAGACTCCTCCCCAAGGCCAGCTGCCATAGAGAAATACCCTTTTTGAGGTGCAGCCTCCGCAGGGAGTTGATGAGCGAGGACTTGCCCACGTTGGGCACACCGATCACCAGGATGCTGTACTCGGTGCTCTGGAAGCGAGGAGAATGTGGGCAGGGAGCAGCCGGCTCTTGGCCACCCACCCCACGAGCAACAGGCAGCCGCAACAGCAAAACAAGCTGGCCTTTGCTGGTGCTTTCGGCCTTGTCCCTTGACCTGGAGAAACTGCCAACAGCCACCCTAACTCCCTGCCTCACGCTGGCAGTCTCACCTCAGCCCTGTGGTAGCGAGGGCTGTTGTCCACCAGCTTGGCAACCAGGGGAACAATCTGCAGAGAGACAGGGAAGAGAGCTGTAACTGTCTCTCTGTGCCAACGCTGGCAGCATCTACTCACTTAGAGGACACTGTGCCAGAAGGATGTACAAAATGGGGGCCAAGAAAAGGCCACGTCTCGTGTGGAACACTCTGAACCAGCCAGCATCACTTCCTCACAGTGAGGCACTGAGGCCTCTCCACGGGGCTGGGAGACCAGTGCATGGCCCTCAGCTGCTGGCAGCAAGACTCAGAGCTGGTCATGGAGCTGCTGGTCCATTCATTACCTTCTTGACATTGACATCATGCTGGCAGTCAGCAAAGACAACGTGTGAGCATCGCTGTCGCTGCAGGTGCTCCAAGACTGTCTGAAGGGGACAGGAAAAGGCATTGCTGGAACCTGCCTGCATGGACCCATGGACCCCCAGCCAGCCCTGCCCCAGTGCTCACCGGCTGCTGGCTGGGATCAGCCAGGTCCATCTTGTTCAGCACCAGGACGTGGGGTCGGATGCCCAGCACCTCCCTCAGAATGGGATTACGGCCCGACAGCGGGATGTGAGCACCGTTAAGGACAGTGACTGTGCACTGGCATTGCAGCAGGTACTGGGATGGACAAGTTGTGTGTGTGGGGAAGCTGATGGGGCTGCTTGCAGAGCTGGAAAGGGGAACGGCATGGAAGCATGTACTGTGGTGGACCAGTTGCTCAGGGCAGGAAGCTGATAGGGCTACTGTGGAGCTAGAGAGGGGTATTCCATGGAAGCAGGTACTGGGGTGGACTAGTCGCTGGTGGGGGGAAGCTGGCGGGGCTGTTGTGGGGCTGGAGAGGGGTATGGGGCGGGGAGAAGAGGCGACCTGGGTGGAAACAGG